ACCTTTACGGCTCTGGACAAGACAAATCCTGAATTCATGTACGGAATTGCTCTCCTAGGTCCATCCAGCCTCATATTGTGACTCTAAAACAAATACCTGGAGGCATTTTTATGAGACAGAATGACCCCAAAATTTAGGCTATATTTTAAATCTGTGAATTCCAATTGGAAGATCCAAATCTGAACAATCACATGTGAATCACCAGGAGAGTTCTTTGAAGCAAACATCTGTGCCGAGGCAATTCTCATTTTCCTTTCCAGGGAAAATCAGAATCTCCTTGAAGGAAACTGTGGTTAGTCTTTGTAAAAGCTCCCCCAGGGATTCCAAACCTGGTGGAGTGCCTATGCTCACATGTAAGTCCACAGGCACGTGTGCACACATGTACACACATACATACTCTCCTCCCACTGAATATCAGCATCCTGAAGAGTCCTAATAAATCATCCAAACAACCATGTAAATGACCAGAGAACCTTTTCATGGTCACCCTGTCTTCTTCTAGGGAGTAGGATGCCAACTGTGTGTCAAGTAATACAGTAATCAAAGGGTATCCAAGAACTTCAGAGGCTTTGTTCTTCCGAAGAGCTGAGCTTTCCAAATAGCTGAAGATCTGCCCACTTAAGCACCAGATCTTTTTTTTTTCCAAAATAATATTTCAGCAATTTTGGATGTTAAACTCTGTAAAATTTATTGCATGTGTTCAGTTTCCTGACTATAATTTAGCCTCGTCTTCATAATTCAAGGCTATTACCATAGGCATCAATTCCTATAATGGGACTAGAGATGGGAGTTTATTACCAAAGACTACAAAGACCTCCAAATGGCAGCTGAAGACAAAAGGAAAGTTGGAGAACACCATGCTAAAAATGGGACTCCAAATAAAGAGGTCAGAAGCAAAAGTCAGAAGCCAGACAGGAAGCCAAGGAGATAAAGAGTGGGTTAACTATAAACAGGGTAAGATTTAGAAAACTTGTCCACAACAGGCATTGCTTCTGTGGTCTGATTATCTGAGATAGCATTACTGTGATACACTGGTAAAAATCTTTAGTCTAAAGCAGAGGTTCCCAACCTGGATGGTACCGGTCCATGGCCCATTAGGGGCCTGGGCCACATAGCAGGAGGTGAGCAGCAGGTAAGCAAGCAAAGATTCATCTGTGTTTACAGCCACTCCCCATTGCTTGCAGTACTGCCTGAGCTCCACCTCCTGTCAGATCAGCAGTGGCATTAGATTTTCAAAGGAGCAAGAACCCTATTGTGAACTGCACATGCTAGGGATCTAGGTTGCACGCTCCTTATGCTAATCAAATGCCTGATGATCTGACACTGTCTCCCATCACTGCCAGATGGGACTGTGTAGTTGCAGGAAAACAAGCTCAGGGTTCTCACTGATTCTACATTATGGTGAGTTGTATAATTATTTCATTATATATTACAATGAAATAAACTGCACAAGTAACGCTCTGTGGAAAAATTGTATTCCATGAAACTGGTCCCTGGTGCCAAAAAGGTTGGGGACTGCTGGTCTAAAGGACCTGCTGCTGATGTCATGGTGTCCTCCTCTAGCCCTCCTCTTTTAATTTAGTGCTTCTAATTTCTTGTGGCCCTACAGATAGTCAACCCAGTTGAAGCAATAAAAGGCAAGAGGCTGCCTCTCTGATCCATCAGAAGTGTGTGTGCGTAGTCTTCTCTTCGGGTGTTCAAGGATCTCTTTGACTTGCTCTCTGGACCTTGCCTGTGTTTCAGGAGGTGTATAGCTGAGCCCCAGAAAGATAAAAAATTGCCATTATTTTATATTTTTCTGCTAGAACTTTCTCCTTCCAGATGCCCATGTATAGTGACAGTGAACGTGCCCATGCTTCTCCAAACTAAAAGCTTCCATCCTGGGCCGTTCCTCTTTCAAGCATGGGACTCTAAGCCATGCAGATTGTGTCGCTTGTGTCATGGAGCAGCCAGTGCTGCAGAAACTTCTGAGACACATCTACCAAGAACTCACTAAGGTCCTCTAAGTTGCCAGCCTCAAGAGAAACACCCTTTCCTGGAGAAGGGTTGGGCCCTGGGAGGAAAAAGTCATTGGCAAGCCTGTTGGCAGAGGCTACTCCTCAGAGGACAGGGTCAAACGGCCACAGAAAAATAGTGACTTAGCAGCTTCCATTACAGGTAATAGGACCTAGGTGACCCTGCCTTCAATTTACTGAAGCTAACTAAAGTAGGGCCAAAGAGAGCAACCTATGATGCTATCGTCAGCACAGAAGGAAATTTAAGAGTGACTTAATTGGTAAAAAAAGAAAAGAAAAAGGAGATACAATCATATTTTTTGTTTGTTTGCTTAAATCATCTTGTAATTTATCTGGCTACCCTTAATCTGGCTTTTTTTCATAGGAACCAATTTTTGCTTTCCCTCCAAATATTACTTCATCCTCTAGCCTCGTTTGTCTTATTATTCTTCTATTCTGGCTTATCCCAAGGGTAAGAGAAAGGGAAAAATTTGCTAGGAATAGCATAGTATGTGGTGAGGAGATGGAAGGACTTGGGAGTCAGAGGTGGATTTATATCCCAGCCCTGCCATTTCCTACCTGTGTGACCCTGGCCAAGTTACTTAATTTCTCTGGGATTTAGCATCATTCTCTGTGAAATGGAAAAAGAATAGAATAGCAGAAAGAACACTTCATTTTACAAACTCCATAGTATAGCTGTGAGTATCACTGGAAACAATACTTCCAACTCTTTGCTCAGCATAGTGTCTGGTCACACAAGCATGCTCTCTGACCTTGGGGTGACGAGCAACGGCCGGCCCATTGGTGCTACCCAGAATGCGAGTTAGGATTTAAAAGTCTCCAAAAACAGGTTCTCGAGGGCCTATTTAAATAAGTAAGAATTATTCTTCATGAATACACATGTGAACTACTACTTTAAAACTGGGGCCAGGCACAGTAGCTCATGCTTGTAATCCCAGCACACTGGGAAGCTGAGGTGGGGTGATCGCTTCAGCTCAGGAGTTAGAGACCAGCCTGGGCAACAAAGCGAGACCTCATCTGTACTAAAAATTAAAAAAAAAAAAAAAATTAGCTAGGCATGGGGATGCATACCTGTAGGATCGCATGAGCCCTGGAAGTTGAGGGTGCAGTGAGCTATGATTGCACTACTGCATTGTAGCCTGCGTGACAGAGCAAGATGCTGTCTCAAAAAACAGAAAAAGAAAACAATACGACTGCTTTGAGTATTTTAAACTATTCTTCAAGTCTCATATTCATTTGTATGGTAGTTCTCCATTTTCATAATGAATACAAAGAAAATTTTGATTCTAATGATCACAAATTCCAAATGATTAGACTCCAGAAAACCAGAGGTTTCTGAACATAGATGCCAATTTCTTTTTCTCAAGTAATCCCATGTTTTAATCATATTGTCATATATACATATCCCTTATCATGGGGATCCCAAGGGGTTTGTTCTTAATCCTCTGTAGTGTCACTCTACACACTATCTCTGGAGGGTCACCTTCTCCCCAGTCTCTCCTCACCTCCAGGCACTGAGCACTATGTACCAGGTACCCTCAGCAAGCCCATTCAAGACTGTCTTTGCAGTGACTGCCCTTCCTGCCAAGAATGATGATCCCCCGTCGCGTTTTAATAGATACTTCTCAAGGCCTCACCAAAATGTCAGCTCCCTGGTGAAATTTCCCCACCTATACCCTATATGCGAGTACCACTATTCATATGGCATCAGGATGTATTTAAGTTGCCTGTTTATAAGGCTGCACCAGACACAGGATTTTTCGAGTGGTTTTTTAATGTGCACAAGAAGCACCTGTGAATCTTGTTAAAATGGGGATTCTGACTGTGTAAAGTCTAGAGTGGGGCCTGAGATTCTACATTTCTCACAGCCCCTAGGTGAGGCCGATGCAAATGCCCTGTAGACTACACTCAGGTAACGAGCTTTTAAGAACATCTCTGAAAATCTCAGCAAGTTGGCATTTCATCATCATCATCATTATATTTTGACGCTGCTGCCCACCAACTCCAACTCTACTAGAAAGATGAGAATAGGAGACGTCAGGACTATGTGTGTGTGTGTGTGTGTGTGTGTGTGTGTGTGTGTGTGGGGGGGGGGGGGGGGGGGGGTGGGGGTTGTATTGGGTAGGTGGATTGGAGACTGTGGGTAGAATTAGAGAGGAAAAGGAAACGGGCTAAGGTTAATAAAGACACAGGAGGTTGCAAAGAGAGGAGGAAAAAAGTGAAAAAGACAGGAAGAGAGAAGACAATAAGCGAACAAAGAGAAAATCATAGAAAAGGAGAAAGAAACAGCCATAGGATGAGTAAAGGAAGGTCAGCTGACTGCTTCTCAGGAAGGAATCGGACCTACATTATCTGACCTTACAGTTTAAGAGGTTGAATTCTGGAACCAAAGCCTCTCAAGAGTACATACTCCGGCTGTTCATGCAACTGAGGAAGTGTGCTCAGAACTTCAATACTGCATTCTAAAGGGTTCTTCCCTCCTGAGTGATTAGGAACAAGCTATTACTATAACAGTAATAGCAAATGAGGGCCTATATCATGATTGTGACTATATAGAATGGCTTATATCAGCTAAGAAAATCTAAGACACTAGAATTCTTTTGTGCTAAGACCTCAAACTGATTGCCCATTACAACAACCTAAATGAGCCAGGTATGGTGGCTCATGTCTGTAATCCCTAAACTTTTTGAGGCCAAGGTGGGAAGACTGCTTGAGGCCAGGAGTTCCAGATCAGCCAGGGCAACATGGTGAGACCCCATATCTACAAAAAGTTTTTAAAAAAGAGAATCGGGTGTGATGGTGCACTACTGCAGTCCCAGTGACTTGGGAGGCTGAGGCAAGAGGATCATTTGAACCCAGGAGTTCAAGGTTGCAGTGAGCTGTGACCATGCCACTGTGCTCCAGCTTGTGACAGAGAGAGAGAGAGACTCTGTCTTAAAAAAAAAAAAAAAAAAAAAAAAAAAAAAAAAAAAAAAAGAACATTACCTGATACAGCTCAATCCGTTGTTCAGGCACTCTGGCTTTTGGATTCTGCAAACGAAAGACTCTGAACTCTGCTTTCACCAAATTGGAAGCATTCTTCTCCATTGCTGAGACGTCAAACCGAACAATTCTGAAGTAGGGTCTGTAGAAAGTGGGTGGGATGGCATCTGTAAAAAGTTAGGGCAATCATTGAAAATGATAAAATCCATTGTGCTTTCAGAAAAGACTGTAGCATGAGATAATCCCAAGAAGCCATAAGGAAAATATCTACAGAATAATTTAGTTTCCGACGGCCAATTTAATATCATTAACAACTTATCCAGAAAAAAAAGAAATAAAATAAACATGTGCATTTAGTTATAGGAGTAGCAAATTAATAGAGATTAACAAACCACTTCCAATTCCATTTGAAAGCATGCAGTTAACCCTATCCTTTGAAGGCTGACAGAGTGGTGGAAAATCATAGATGGTTTTGAATTGGGACAAGTTTATGACAGTTGATGCCTGGAGAGAGCTGACAGGCCTGCATACACTTTAATCAGATATGCCAAGAAAATAGTTCCTAATGGCCAGCAGTTTGCCCATGTATTTTTTTTTCCTTGAAAGTTTGGCATCCAAATAATTTTTTTTTTTAACCAGACTCATATATCGTGTCTCCTTTGACTTCAATATTTTAGTTTTTCACACACATATGACTTAACATATTCTCTAGTCAAGTTATGATGAGGAAATCGGAATAAACAAAAGTATAACCCACGTACTAATTTATGCCAGATCCAGTATTAGAATTCTTTATGCAGGATAATCTCTGTTGGCGGGAGGTCATCCTAGCTAATGAAGAAAAAGAATTGGCACAAATTCCTTCAGTTCTAAACCATGTAAAATACAGAGTTGCTGATGGCACATGACAATTTAAAGCTCCTGGGAAGATCGGACACAGTGGGTCATGTCTGTAATCCCAGCACTTTGGGAGGCTGAGGTGGGCAGACCACTTAAGGTCGGGAGTTTGAGACCAGCCCTTGCCAACATGGTGAAACCCTGTTTCTGCTAAAAATACAAAAATTAGCCAGGTGTGGTAGCATGCACCTGTAATCCCATCTACTCCAAGGGCTGAGACTAAAGAATTGCTTGAACCCTGGCAGTGGAGGCTGCAGTGAGCTGAAATCGCAACACTACACTCTAGCCTGGGCAACAGGGTGAGGCTCCATCTCAAAAATCAATCAATCAATCCATCAATCAATCAATCAATCAATTAAGCTCCTGGGTTGCTTTAGAGTTGTGCTGGGTTTTTTTTTTTGTTTGTTT